GGGAAGGGAAGGGAAGGGAAGAGAAAGGAAAGGGAAGAGAAGAGGAAGAGAAGAGAAGAGAAAGTAGAAATAGAATACAAGTATAGTAGAATGGAATGGAATAGGACAGGATAGAAATAAAAATATAAGAGAAATGTTGGAAGGACCTTGGAGGTCTTCTAGTCCAACCCCCTGTTGAGGCAGGAAAAAACCCTATACAAACAAGTGGCTGTCCAGTCAGTTATTTTGGAGGCAAGAAGTTCCACTGATTAATTCTTCCAGCTGTCAGGAAATTTCTTCTTAGTTCTAGGTTGCTTCTCTCCTTTATTAGTTTCCGTCCATTGCTGCTTGTCCTGCCTTCAGGTGCTTTGGAGAATAGCTTGACTCCCTCTTCTTTGTGGCGGCCCCTGAGATACTGGAAGACTGTTATCATGTCTCCCCCAGTCCTTCGTTTCATTAGACCAGACATACCCAATTCCAGTCCTTCAGAAGTTGCAACAGCATTGAAAAAAGTGACTTGTGACCTTTTTTCATACTTATCACCACTGCAGCATCCCCAGGGTCACATGGTCAAAATTCAGACGCTTAGCCACTGACTCATATTTATGACGGTTGCACTGTTCCGGGGGGTCACACGATCCCCTTTTGCGACCTTCTGGACCAGCAGAAGCGACGTGGAAGCCAGATTAACCTAACAGTCACGTTACCAACTGAGCACCTGCAACAGCGACCACTCTGTTATTCTGTTATTGCAAGGTGTTTTACAGCTAGTCCTCATCTTATGACCGCAATTGAGCCCAAAGTTTTAGTTTGATAAGCTAAAGAGAGAGGTGGGTTAAGTGAGTTATGCCCCATTTTTACGACTTTTTCTTTTAACAGTTGTTAAGTTAAATCCTGCCGTTCTTAAATCAGTAACGTAGTTCTTAAGTGAATCTGGCTTTCCCGTTGACTTGGCTTGTCGGGAGGTCACAAAAGGGGATCCCACGACCCCGGGATACTGCAACCCGTCATAAATACGAGTCAGTTTCCAAACGACCTTAATTTGGATCGCATGATCACAGGGATGCTGCAAGGGTTATCCGTCTGAAAAACGGTCGTAAGCCCCTTTTTTTCAAGTGCTGTTGTACAGGGCTGGGCTTCAAAAATTTTAGCAAAGGGTTCTCTGCCCGGGGACTGGGTGGACGTGGCCATGGAGGGTGTGGCCTAGTCGGTCTGCAGTGGGGAGGGGGTGTTTTTGTCCTCCCCAGGCTCTGGAGCCTCCATGAGGGTGAAAACGGCCTCCCCGGGCTCCGGAGGGCCAGAAATGGGCCCATTTCCAGCCTTCCTGAACTTCTAAGAAGCCCATGTCAACTCATAAAATATTTCTATGGTCTTTTTTAGAGTTGCTAATAGAAAAAAGACGGGGGGAGCAGTGCAGCATCTTGCAAACCGAAAGTGCATTCCATAAATAGTTGGTCAAAGATAGTAACTAGGTGACTGAAAGTTTCTCCCGCGCAAATATCTCACTGCGGGGAGCACGATTGATGACTCTTAGCTACGGAGGTGTCCCATTGGAGAATATGAATTACGATACACCCAGGGGGTGGGGTGGGGGGAAACCAGGGTCATGAATGATGTGCCTCAGAGTCGGCTACACCCAGGCAGTGCTGGACATGTGAACTCCCAATAAATCCTTTTTGAGGTTTTGGAAGTTTGGCTCGAGACTCGTGATTTAAATGGGGAGGTAACTGCCGGAATCCTGACAGCCTGTTTTTTGCCTTCCCCGAGTCTCCGTGCGACTCACCTGCATCCAAAATGGGCCGTGTGGGCACTCCTGGGAGGGGAGGGGCAGGGTGTGCTGGGGGGGAGGGGCAGGAGTGGGATTGGGGACTTTCTGAACTGCACAGAATTTTAGGTAGGGGCTCTCCTGAATCCCCGGCAGCCCACCTCTGCGCGTTGTAACTTTGAACGGTGACTAAATGAACTGTTGTAAGTTGAGGATCACCTGTGTTTAAGGGGACTTTTTTTTTGTCTTCTGGGAAGGCAGCCCATGGGTTTCCCCCAGCCCAGACCCAGAAAATCGCTTTCTCCTTCCTCCCGAGACCAGAGAAAGTCCCTCGTCTGTCTGTCTTCTCCTTTCTCACCCGTCTGATTTTGCCTCTCTTTGCAAACAGGGGCAGCTTTTGGGAGGCTGATGGGCGAGAGCATGGCAGCTTGGTTCCCCGATGGCATTCACACTGACAGCAATATCTACCGCATTGTGCCAGGGGGTTACGCAGTGGTAGGTAAGAGAGGCACCTTTTCTTCTATTTCTCCCC